AGTATCACACCCCACAGCTTCCTAATACAAGTTGGTTAATGGATCTGGTGGGCACAGGAATCGCCACAAGACAAGCTAGGAAAGAAGGAGCTTTTGGTGACACAAGCAGAAGAGTAGTGCAAGAGCTTTGATGGAAGCCCAGGCTCCCTCACTACTATGAAGGTCAGCTTTATTGCAGTTGCTTATCCCAGGGTAAGAGACACACAATGTAGCTCTTTTGAGTTCCAAGAGGCCTCAGGGTAAGAAACGATGTTTCACTGGAATTCCTGACTTCTATTAAGGTTTTGCAATTTATCTCTTATTTCCTGAGTTTCCCAGGAACGTAAGTATGCGTATGCAAAGAAGGGATGATCTCTAGCATTCTTGGAATAGTTCTCTAGGACTGCCATGCTTGTACTCCCTCATCATTGCCTTTATTTCTCCAGATAGCTTACTTGAGCCATGCAGGTCAATTCAGGGGAAAGCCTTGACAAGCTTACAGCATTCAGGACTCTGTACAGCTGTAAGAGGAGGACATGAGGAGACCTTATTTCTTGGTGAACATGCCTAACTGATCTACCTAACTCAAGAGCAGGAGCCACATGTCATTTAAACAGACATGGACTTCACAGTAAACATCTCTAGCTTTCTTTGGACAAAAATTGATTTTTTTTTTTAATGTCTTGTACCTTCTCAGCATTTAACCCAGTTATTTTCATTTGAGTTAATGCAAGCCATAAAACCAAGTAGTTTTTAAGATGAGATTAAAGAAAACTATTTGGTTCAGGCATTTATTAATCAACATTTTAGATACTCCTGCAGTAATTTAATGGGAACAGGTCTATCAAGTCTTAAAGTCCCAAAAAAAGCAGATAAACTTACAAGCCAACAGTGACAGTACAAAGCAGGGCCTCACAGTTTCATGATGCAGTATCTTATTTTAGTATTAGCACAGACTCCAAAAGCCACTTTCTTTTTAAACATTCACTAGAGGGAATCATCCATTTTAGTGGCAAAGAGGAACTGAAGCTTTTGGGCTGGGACCAGGAAAAAAAGAGGAAGAGTCTGGAGAGTAAGGCACATCACACCATCAACACATAGTCCCACATATAAGTCACAGAAGCTGTTCTGATAAAGCCAGGTAACTCTCACTGCTTCGCAGCTTGTGGTGCAGGCATTTGAGAACACACTGCTAAACAGACAAGCCTAATAGGACACTTCTGCGACAATTATGCATTTATCACTACCTCACTGGATCAACAGCTTTAAGGTAACATGGAGCTTTCATTTAGCAGCACCTGGAGACCAAATCAAGCCTGACAACCTTCCCATTTATTTTGGAACTGCCTTAGTTCTTCCTCTACAAGAATAGCATCATTCTGTATTTATAGTTGCAGTTAAGTATCTTGGGGCACACCAAGTGAGCTACTGTGAGGGTGACCAACCAGCTGAGTAGCAGGTATAACAAGTTTCACTAAAGAAGGCAAAAAGTGTCTCTCACCTGTGTAAATCACCAGGCATGTCAGGGAGCTAATCAGCTCCAGCCCCAAGACTCCCAGGATAAGATACAGGTATACTTTACTGTGATCAGGAAAGGAATGCTGTACTGACAGAATCAAAAGCAGGGCTGTATTACCTAGAAAACAAATATTATATTTTACAGGTGTAGCAATTTCATTACCTGTTAAAAATAACTTGGTACTGTCTCATCCCCAGTATCTGCATTAGGCTGCAACATTTCAGTAATGCTTTTCCATGTCATACCATACTTGCTTCTTTGGCTAATTTCCTTAACACAGCAAGCTTACAACTGCTGACAATAAAATCAGGTTTCATTTCAGCATTTGACTGTAATGGTAAAGCTATGATTTTTTTGAGGTCTAATACATTTTTCTGACTTAAGAAACAAGAGTGGAAGAAATGCATGAAAAATATCCACTATACATATGTGGGCTTAAGCATTTTCTAGCCTTGTTGCTGCTATCGCTCCCCAAAACCACTTGGAGATTTCATTTCTTTCAATTCCTAAGAGTTCATGTTAGTTAATTCAAAGTAAGAGGGTGTTTTCCTTCAAGAGGTAGATTTGAGTATATTTAACTGAGGCCAACAGAGCAAAAACCCCAAACACCTTCCTTTCTCAGGGAAATTCTTGTATAGGCTTCCAGTTGCCTGGCTATTATTTTAATACTTGCAAGATATTGAAAGTTTAACTGAAAGGAGCACGATTACTCAAGGAGAGCAAGTGTTGAATTACAGAGCTAACAAGCATTCTTAATTCTTTACACACCGTCTTCTCCTCTGATGAAGTGTGAAGTGTTCTTCTCCCTGGAGAAATGCTATAACCAGTTTCTGGATAAAGCACTAAATGTATTACGACTGTTAACGTAGTTGGGGTACAGTACAGTTACCAAAGGTAACTGCGTTACCCAACTGAACTGTCAGGAGGGAGCAGCGGTGATTACCATGGCAGGGAGTGTTGCAATAGTGCAGGTAATCACCTTCTGAACTACAGCTCCACACTGACAGTCCACAGCACACAGCTGATGACACCTGAACATTTAGACGTGTCCAGAGCTTGTCTGGTAGGGGAGAAGTGGACTTCAAACAGGGCTAAGTATTCCAGATCACATTGCAACAGGCAGAAGTAGTCGTTTCACTCTTTTGAAATGCCCTTAAGATTGCTGTAGCCCGATTTTGTTACTGCACTCCAAACACATCTTTATCTTCAGAGCTCTATCTAGTGGCCAGAGACTGAAGTTTTTCTGCACATTCATCAAGTTTACTAGCTCTTAGGGACTAGGTGGAAAGAAAGCTAGGGTTTTATATAAAGCACAATCACATAACTTAGGAATTCTGGTGAAAAAATTTCTACTCCAGTTATTCAGATTTACAGAAGTGAAGTGGGATTATAAGAGGAAAAAAAAAACCACCACAAAAAACAACCCCACCACACCTGTAAAAGCCACCATTGTTCCCTTTTCCCCAGCTATTTCTGTGTGAAAAATCCCCTTGAGTTAGATGGATTTTAGATTTGCTGAGGTAGTTTCTGTGAGAAAAGCTACGCCAGCTAATTGTACCAACACTTCTGTCAGCTTCACTGGCCAGTGATTCAACCTAGAATATACTGAGTTAAAACAACTCTTGTCCATAGAAAGTAGAAAAAGGTAGAAGTAGATCTGAATCTTGTAGACAGCCCCAGTCAAGATTATAAAATTGCTTGTCTTACCGATTTTGATCAGCAGTTGAACAACAGCAATTCATCTGTTTGAATTGCTGAGCTTGAAGAGAAAGAAAGCAAGTAGCACACTTCTTGGAAAGAATAGCAGTCTTGCAACATATTCAGCTAAGCAAATGAGTATGAAAACAGAGATCACTCACACCTAAACAGACCTTGCTGCCTGAACATTTTATGTCTGAAGACTAGATGCAAGTGGCTGGATGTTTTACTCCACTTCACACTCATGGGCATTTTTCTACTACAGAGTTCTTTCCAACATGCATGTGGCATGCATGGTCAGTCAGGAGGTCCACCTGACTAAAATAAATAATATTTATAAATGCTCACAGACAGGTTTGAAAGAGTCTATATATAATGTATATTAATGTTATCATCAGCTCTTCAGTCTTTTGTGTCATAGTTAAAAGTTTCAGAAAAAAAAAAACAGAAAAACAATTTCACTTCACCTGTGGAGTGTATCAGCAGTGGAAGCCTTTTTAGATGTCTTGTTGATCGGTATATTGAGAAGTAACCTCTGCTTCTGACTTTACTGTGGTGGTGCTGGATGTATCGTTCAAAAAAACCATGCAGAACCCACAGAATTACTTTTGCAATTATTATGACAGTCTGCACTTTAAGTGGGTGAGTATAGTTTCCAGGACACTTATCCTGATTTGGATTGGGGTAAGAACAAAACATAACTGCTAAAAATGCTAGAACGACAAAAGCAACCTGGAAGAGAAAGGAAGAGAAGAAAATTATTGAAGTCAACGTTTAACTATAATAAAGTCAATTGATAAAGTAATGTGTAATGTATGAGTTACATAAAGTTTTTTTTTTTAGGAGTTCAAATAATGTATAAAACATTAGACACTTACTACAACCACTACATATCACTCTGGGAACATACTGATGACTAAAATAGCTAAGCAGTAAGATTGTCTTGCAGGAGACCAACCAACCAGTCTCCAGTTGAACAGAGCTGCAAAGCACCACTCTTCTCAGAACCTCCTCTAAATAGATTTCAATGTTCTGAGTCTCCCCTTTGTAGTGACTTTATCTTATTTGTGGACCCTCTTTATTATGGCTTTTTATTTTAAGGTGAACTTGATTTATACTCCTTAAAAAAGGGTCTTATTTTAGACGCATTCAATTATACTTGTTACTGCTCTGCAGGACAGTGTCTTATTCATCCAGTCTATATTTCTTTAAATTGACATTTCTTAAGTGAAAAGTCAAACCTTTACTTTACCTATTAAAAATTAGCTCCAGGTTATGACATTAGAAAAAAGTCAAATGTCATCACAGTAACTTATAAATTATTAACACTGGGTGGGCATCTTTCCCAGTTGGTAATCATTCTTCAGTACATTTACTATCAGACTTTTCCATTTTGCTCAGAATTTATATCAGAATGACCACACTATAATCACACAGACTGTATATACACTTATCCTTTCAGACTAGTGCCTTTATGCCACAACTTTTCTGTCTTCTAGACTTTATTCCAGATTTTCATCCGTGAGCATCAGCAATCTTTCAGACAACTAGAAGGCAGAGTCTTGGGTGCATATTATCTGAGGTATATGTAAACACACAGGACTTCACATTTTTATAGAACATTTTTGTCATAGAAAATATTGTTTTGATTCAGTAAACAACAAAATGTGATACTTTCATGGTTCATGCTACAGAATAGGAATATTTTTAAAACAGAACTGAAAACAAGAACAACTCCCATGAGTGCAGAAGTAAATTGAGAGCTTCTATATACAATAAAAAAGTTTCCCTGAAGTTTGCAAAAGTCTAATACCTCTATGCTTAAAAAAGCATCTAGTGTTCTGCATCTCATAACTGACAGAAAACACATCAGAACTGAAGATGGATTGAAGAGTAAATGATTTTCATTTGCTAGCTTTGTTTCTATACTTAATTCTATGAATATCCAAAAGCCCACCACTCCCTTGACCTTGTTTCTCATATTTTTGTCATTTCCCAAGCAACTTCCTTCAGAAATGAACCTTTCAGAACCACTTAATTACTCTTGATATGAACTGCCTTCAATTTGCTCTGGTTGTGAACTGAGTTAGTTAATTGGACAGAGGAAGAAGGGAGAATAATTTTCACACAATCGAGAATACCTAAGAGAGACATTATAGAAGACAGAGAGGGTAGAAGGTGGGAATAAAAAAAAAAATGTGTTCTATATTATCCAGAAGACCATTACTTCAAATGCAAATTAAATCCTAAATTATCTTGACATGGGTTAAGTAGCAAAATAAGAGGGTTATCAACAAAACACTCATTTAATCTACTATTTCAACACCTCCTTCTTTTACCAAGCTAAGAATAATCCAGCTAACCCACATTTTATTTCATCCATTTACAGCTTGGTTTGCCATTTTAAAACAGCAATGCATCTAATTCTACACTCTCCAGGTGTTAGGATTGTATTTCAATACGGAAAATAGTTATAGTTAAACTGATACAAGCAGAAATGACCTGGCATTGCTCCTCTACTAAACTACTCCAGCAATGTGTAAAAGAGGAAACAGGTAGCTGGCATTAAGGGTGTCATTTATTAAAAATATTTTGATTACATTATAGATTAGTCCAACAACAGGTGCTTCACACCAATATAGAAGATTTTTATATACAAAAAGTTATTCTTGGAGTAGTATTTAAGTTCAGTTTTGTGTATGGGCGTACACAGAGGGATTAAGGAAAGACAGGGTTAATACAGCCTGTACGCTTCAGACTACTCTCCAAAGTGTCCTGATAGGAACTAAAAGCTTGCAGAAAAGCAAGGCTTGGCAAAGGAAAGCCACTCAAAAACCCAGCCCCACTGCACTCCAGCACATCCTACCCATATGTACAATTCTGGAGTGTAACTAGGTAGCTGTTCTGAAGCAGCAATTTGCCGCCTATTTCTTGGCACAGAAGGGTGGAGAAGAAATACTCCATGTTACACACAAAATACTCCATAGGGTAGTTATGTAATGCATCTCTAATATTATGAAGGCTTAACTTCTCCAGGACACTTGGCTCTTCAACAGGCTGTGCATCACAAGCTAACCTGACGTTACCACGTCCCCCAAGGTTTATGCACATTTGCAGAAGGAAAAGAAATCCAATAAGCTTGTTTTCCCCATTCACCTTTTCAGCAAGGGAGACAACACCATTTCACGTGGCAATTATTAATGCTGTATTTCACCAACAGAAGATACTTCATTTTGCTCCAAGGACCAACCAACCACTGCAGCATGTTCAGCAACAGCAGCAAGACTTGACCTGGAAAAGCGTGAGTTGACAGAGGCCTCAGCGTTCTGTCTCTCTCCAACCCTCCCCATACTTCCCTTCATTTGCAGGAGAGGAAGTGATGGGGACAGAAGAGGCAGCAGCTTCCTAGGATTTGGGTGACCGACTTTCGGCTCCATCAATTATGATAGTAGGTAGTAAGACCCTGTCGTGGTTTAACCTCGGCTAGCATGTGGCTTTTCACCCTTCAACCCCAGAAGTCAGAACAGGAAACAATATTGGGATTGCTTTCTCTCTATCCACTACCATGTGAACCCCCTGGAGCAAGTCCAGCTTTACTTATTTAGTTACCTTACAAAATACCTTAAGTCTTCCCTGTGAAATTAAGTTCAGCCTCCTGAAGGCATGGCATCAAAATTACCTTAACCCTCTGTAACTACTATAAGCATTTCTACAGCAGTTACTTTAAAAGTACATTTCCAACAGCACAGAAGACCTACTACTTAAAAGGTTTTTCTTCCTAACAAGATGTGTCACAGCATGTTATCACCAGCAAACAATCAGAATGAGAACGCATGTGGCATAGACATTATCAAAATGCATTGGTGGTTAAGACTTCACTGGTTTGGAATAACAGTGCATGAAATTCTCAGGAGACTTTTGTCCATGTAACCCATAGGAATTCAGAATAGAGACAGCAAATTTTCATTAGGCAGTCATGCTTCTCAAACTCACATGTATTAGCAACAGAAAATTGGCAAGAAGAACTGCTGGGATAGCATGAAATCTTGGCTTCAGCTGGGAATGCAACGTATGAGATGAAATAAGTGGTGCATCCAGTAGAGGATCATCTTCCAAACTCTGTGTTATTTCCAAGGAACCCTGGAACAGAAGGGGAAGACAAAGAGCAATAACAGTTAAGCTCTAAAGGATGAAGTTTCAGCAATTTCCTGTTAGCAAATCAAGCTTTGGGAAAAAAAAACTAGGTTAGTGTCTTGAGATGACCTCTTAAATTCTAGGTAAACTCTCATCACATCTTTATGTAAAAACTTGGTCCTTGAGGAACCCAACACCAGTCTACTTCCCAGCATTGCACTGAGTCTTCAGGAACTTTAATCTTTAAAATGCATTACAAGTATTTGAGCATCAATCCTGACAGAGGCCAGAAATATTAGTATGTTTACATGAAAAAGTGGAAAAAGTGACAATTGAAGTCCCTCATATTCATTATACAGTGTACTAGTAACAGTTCCAAGTGATTTGGCCACTGACACATCAAAACACCTGCAGCAGTAGCTCACCCTGAACCCAGGCAAGAAAGAAGCAGCAATTCAGATGGAAGAAGATGCTAGCAAGTGCTGGGAAATCCATCTTCTGCTTTCACTAGAGAGCATGCAACCCTTGCTTGTCATGTTGGCACCAAGTACTGGGGCTTTGGCGTCACATTTAGGTCAGATGTTTTGGCTACACACATTTCCACAAGTACCTTTTACTTGTTTTTCCCCTCCACCCATACTTAGTTTTACCTTTTACTTAAAAAAAAAAAAGCAAAAAAGCACCCCACAACCTTCCCTGAGGATAAGAATAAGAAACATGTCTCAGTGCTATGCATCTCTGCTCCTTCCAGGCCAGGATGCAGTAATTCAGTACATCTTAAGGTGAACATACACAGCCACTATGAATGCTCAGACTGCTCAAGTTTCCTTCTTAGTATCCACTTATGTCCCATGCTATGACTTGCTCCAAAGGATAAGGAAACTCAAGAATCCCAATCAAGTTTTGACTGCTCTTCTCCTAAGTGATATCATCCACAGTCCAGGACAACAAGACAGGGGCAGAACTCGATCCCACTCCAGACTTCTGGCTCTTCAGAGAGACTGCCAGGGCTCACTGAAATATTCAATTTTTCAGCTGAGGAGCTCTCCTTGCCATGACAGAAAGTACCGTAAGCCTCAAGGCAAGTGAAGCATGTCATTCTTCTAGATAGTACTAGGGGAGAGGTAAAGAAGTTCTTGTATTAGACCTAGATTTATACTTAATACTAACCAGGGCAACATAGATGCACTCCCCAGTGTTATTTCACCTACTGACAGCTGCCTACAGCAGAGGAGCTAGTCACCAATCAGTTTTATTGTCGTAGCTTGAATGCCACACTTGCCCAACCATAGTAGAGTGTGAACAGGACTTCCTCATCTATGTGATACCTTTTAATTAGCCTACTCTTTAACTGTAAACAACCCTTGCTGAAATACCTGCCTGGTAAGATGCCCTTTTACTGCAGGCTTGAAGTTTTACAAATGGCACTCCCCTTATGTCACCAATATAAAAATCCAGGAGCACAAGTACAAAGATGCACTCTGTCCCTCACACCTTGCCCCAGAAAATGGGGGGTAATTCTAGAATCTGAAGGCAAGTGTGCAGGACCAGCACCCCAGCAGCCAAGGCATCTTTCCTCATTCCTCCCCAACACAGAGCTAATAGCAGAGTTAGCAGCTCACACCTCCCACAAAGGATCTTCCTTAGGACAGGATCCTCTGTCTCATGGGAACAGGCGAGCACCTCACTGCTGTAACACCACGACAGGTCAGCTCACTCCTTCACAGGCACAGCTTGATCAGAACGTGTTTGACCATGTCACTGCAAGGCCAGCTACAATCCACCTTTGTATCCCAAAATACAGCTAGTGTTGGGAAGTGCTGGATGATATAACCTTCCCGAGCAGAGATTATGACAGGCAACATGGGGAGGAAGGGAATTACAGCAAAAAAGATGCTGATACCACACAGTCAATCTGACATTAAGAAAAAAATCTAGTAAGTGTCCTAATTAGAGCAAACATAGGTTTCATTTAATTAAGACGAGTCAAAACGCCCTTAAAAAGTGGGCCTTGTGCTGGGCACCGGTGTCAGCACAAGGGCAGGTTAAGGCTTCAGCCCCCCGGCTCCCGGGCCCGTCTCCAGATGTGAGCCCCTCCGCAGCAGCCCGGCGGCAGGAGGGGGAGGCCGGCCCTGCCCGCGCAGGCTCCCAGCGTGGGGGCGGGAAACACCCGCATAAACAGGAAAACGCCGCAGTCACGCCCGCGCCTGAACACAAGATCGCGCTTATAGGGCCTGCCTGCAGAAAAAAAAAAAGCAACACCGAAGAACTAACCAAGCTACGCGACCAGCCCCGGCTAAGTTGAATGACTGCGATTAACGCCAGCCCCAC